ACACAGGGGCAGGCAAAAGTAGGTTTACAGTCATGACTATAAGAAACATAAAGTTTATTCTTGTTTTAATATTAATTATTGTGTTATTTATTTGCATTATGTAAACCTACTTTTGTCCACCCCTCTATATTAGAGCATTTAGTATAGGAATTAGCCAGCAAGTTATGGAGGCTGAGAGGTCCCATAATCTGCCATCTGTAAGCGAGAGACCTCTTACAAATGTAAACCAGTGGTGTAATTCAGCTGAGTCCAAAGGCCTAAGAATTGGGGAGGGTTGAGTGGGGAGGGCGCAGCATGATGGTGCACATCCTTGTTAGAGTCCCAAAGTCTGCAAAACAGGAGCGCCAGTGTCTGAGGACAGGAGAAGACAGATGTCCTAGTTCAAGCAGAGGGAATTCATCCTTTCTGCAGTTGCTCCAGTGGGCAATGTGTTCATCACTAAACTAGTCACTGTGGCTGGGAAAATGGAATGTTCCGAAATGCTTTCGTCTAGATGACATGTGCAATGGGAGATGGAAGTATTCACCAAGTGAGCCACGTGGATTGTGTGTTAGGAAGGAGTCATCCCTCCCAAGCACACTTGTGTCCTGCTGTCATGAGAGAGGGCAGCTGAGGCTGGGTGACAAATATCCCGCAGGTGTCCATTACACTGGTGGTGGGAGGAGGTGGCAAAGGTCACCAGAAACCACGGCCAGGGTCTCGAGAGCCTTTCAGCTGATTTAGGAAACCGCGTGAGATACCCACAGGCAGCCCTTCAAGAGCATGATTGAAATCAAGAGGCCACTCTGAGGCCAATTCAGAGTGAGCTCCAGACTTGTGACACCCAGAGTTTATGAAGAAGGAAAATGACGGGAAGCCAGACCGGCATCTGCATTTGACCAGCAGCCAACCACAAGAGTGGCATATCGGGGTGATGCGGTCAGGGAGGGACTGGCAAATTCTCTGATAAAAAAAAAAATGGCCATGGCGGTTTTGTTTTGTGTTTATTTATATTTTTACCCTAGGGAATCCAATTTGTAACCATTCAAACCGAGTGCCTCTGAGGTTTGGAGGAATGGATTTTCTTCCGCTGTTATCGCAAGTGTCAGAGCTAGAAGTGTCAGGTGCTGAGAGTTTCCCAAAGCTTCTAGTTCTGGGGAGAAGGCCAGCTGCGGGTGGGGGTGGCGTCTGGTTAGAAAATAGGGGAGGGGGATTAGAAGTATGATGAGGTCTCTGAGATTCTTATGAGATTTACAGTTTGGTTTACTATTTAAAGATTATTTTTGGTCTAAAAATAGGTTTCCCCAAGCTGCAGTGTTCCTAGATTCACTCTCTTCTGTGAGATTTCTGTCATTTCTTGCCGATTGCACCTGAGAAATATTTTCTCTTTCATGTTTGTATGTCCCAAATGCCATTCATTCATTCATTCATTCGCTCACTCATTCACTCATTCATTCAATCAACCAACATTACCTTGAGGGCTAACTGAAGGAGAATCAATGTTTCATCTAGGGCGCCTAAGATTTCCCATCTAACCCCCACCCTCCCACCCCCCCACATCTTCGTACCATCTCATTGGTCATCTAGTGCCAACCCAGCTGCATGCAGATGCCTCCTAGACATTTCAGAGCCAACATCTCCAACACCAAATTTTTGATACCTCTCTCCCAGCCAAACTGTCTCCTCTTCTGGACATCCTCATCTAAAAAAAAAAATGGTGCCTCTAGCCACCCACTGGCTCATGCTAAAACCTGGGAGGCATTCTTGACATTTCATTTGACTTCAAAGCTAAATCCAACCCAGCACCTAGGAGATTCTCAATCAATATTGACCAAACTGACAGGTGGTTAAATGAGCTGAGGAATGAATGAACAATGCTTTGAGCTGCCACTCCATCCGGCACTATTTCAGTCCCTATAGGGACGAATGTGTGCTCGTGTTATGGAGACAGCTTAGTAAGTGTACATCTGAACAAGGATTTTTACATTTTGAAAAACTCCTGCTGCTTCTTGGAAACAGATTGTATTTCTCTGATTGTCGATTAAGTTTGTGTGTGTGTGTGTGTGTGTGTGTGTGTGTTTTAACAGCTGAAGATTTTGGAACCAAACCAAAGTAATCTGCATTTCCATTTTTATATCTTAATTTATAAACTGCACCTTATAATTTACGAGCACTCACTTAGTGTCTCCGACAGAGCCGAAACAAATACCGACTCTGCCAGCTTTGCTACCTGCGTCTTTTCTCCGCACCCTTCCTATCCGGCACTTTCTAGCATTTGGGTTGAAAGGACGGGCTGGAGTCAGCCTGGCTTGGGGAGGGAAGGACAGTAATAACGATATATTTATACAGGAGAGAGAGAGGAAGGTCTCATTGTGTCATTACTCCCACTTTACGGATGAGGAAATTGAGGCTGAGACGGGAGTGACATGACCAAGGTTTACCAATGAGCGGTGGAGCCAGGCTTAGAACTGGTAGCTCGGGAATTCCTCATGCCAAGGGTCTTTCCAGGACCCCGGACCAGGGTTTTTCCACCCAGGCACTAGTGATACTTTGGACCGCATCATTCTTGGTTTGCATTGCAGATGCTTTACAGCATCTCTGGCCTCTACCCTAGATGCCAGCAGTACCTGTCCCAACCCAACGCTGTGACAACCCAAGTATCTTCAGGCATTGCCAAGTGCCACCCCTGATTGAAAACCACTATGCGACACTGTGTCCTTGTCCTTGATTACAAAGGAGGCACAAAGGTTAAGAAAATTCATCTTCTTTCATAGCCCGCCCTCCCCCGCCGCCCGTCCCCTCCAGGCACAGGGGTCAGCTGAGAACCGCCCTTTCCACAGTAGCGTTCAGAATCCGGAGCAAATCCTCAGTCTGGCAGTGAGTGCTTGACATTCTTGATCACATTTAACACCCCCAGGATGGGTACAACTGTCTCTGTTTTACAGGTGAGGAGACTGAGGCTTAAAGAGGTCATAGCTTGCCTATAGTTAGATAGTGAGTGGCAAGCTGGGTTGCTAACCCAAACCTGACTAGTCCTGGGGACGGAGTTGACTTTCCCACCCTTCCTCCTCACTCCACTCCAACACAGCGGGAACCACATTTCCTTTTGTTGGGTCAGCAGGAAGGTACTGCGTTAGAGAAGCCCTGCCCCCTCTTCCCTCCTAGCCCATCCCAGTCTAAAGGCAGGTGTCTTTCTGGTGTGCAGGACACACATCCATGATTGTGGGTCCAAGTGCTTGTCAGCTGTCGCCCTATCCAGCACTGACCTTGCTAGGTAACGCATTTGTGGGACGCTTGACAACACAGCAGCGAGGGCTAGACACAGCGGCCAGTTCTGGAGAAGGGTCCTCCTGGCTGTGTCCTGGGGACCTCGGGCAAGCCAATACCATCTCCGAGCTCAATCTTCCCATCTATAAAATGGGAAGACCCACTTCATGGGGGAAGATGTGAGAATAAATGGTGATAAATGTAGGCTGGTTCACATCGATGCTGGGTGCTGGATAAACACTTCCTGCAATGAATGTCCACCTGCCTCGGTACCTGAGACAAACTCAGTTTCAATTCCTGAACCTCTTCATCAGTCCGTGAGCCCCGTGTACCCTGCACAGTTACTTTTTTAGGGCACTCTACCCAGCTAGATTTCAAGTTCCCTGAGGATAGGGCCTGTGTCTCTGTCCCCTCCCACAATGGCCAGCCTGGGGCATGCTCAGCATGATTGCTGAAGAAGGGATGGTAATGATTCCTTCAGCAACCGTCTTTTGCATTGGGTACTGCTTTCTCTGGCTGTATCTTAACGTAGGAAATGGTTTGCCTTTGTTAGTAGATGGTGCCCTGGGATTCCCCACTCTGAGTAGTTCAGGCTAATAGCCATCATTTTGGTTCTGCTTTGGCCATTTTCTTTGATTTCCCCAGTTGACACTAGCTGGTGGTAATAAGATTCAAGCTCAGTGTAGCAAAGATGCAGAATGGAAGAGGGACTCAGTAGGGTCTGGTTACCAATTCCCATCCCAGGCTCCAATCCCCATCTCTGCCCAGCCATTTACTCCCAACCACCAACCAGTTACTGGTGCGTTCTGTGCCTCAGTTTCCTCACCAGTAAATCAAGGATATTAATAGGACCTGCCTCAGAGGGTTAGGAAAAGGTGAAATGAACAATGCCTAGAACATATCATGGTCTCAGTCTCTGTTAACAAAGCCCCCGGACCTTTAATTGGGGTGGGTGGGGTGCCAGAGAGCACGCCGTGGGAGGGGAAACTTTCTGGGCTGTTGAGCCCTGTGGCCAGCAGCGGGCAGGCCCAGGGCAGCAGGGGCGCACACTGCTGTCGCAGGCTCTCTCTCCTCCATTCCTTCGGCAGGGGAAGGGAACCCCACGGTGCTGTGGGGACGGCAGCCAGACCCCAACCGCAAAAGACAAGCGAAGCCACCCCCGCCCAACTCTATGGCAGCATTAGTTTCATTTCTTCTTTAAACAATTAATAAAGGCTGCTCACAATTCTGCGCTCTTCAGAGCACCCAGGACGGAGTCTCCCTTCCCCGGCAGCAAGCCGGTGGCCTGGGCCCTCACGCCCCGCTCACGTTTTGGCCGGGCAAAAAGAGCCGGTGGAGGTGCTGCGGGTGTCTGACCCCCACCGCTCGGCGGGCCCCAGGGGTCTCCGTCCAAAGCCGGCCGCTCCCCCAAGGTCACCCAACTTTTCCCTCTTCCCGCAGCTCCCGGGGAAGGTCCGGGAGGGTCCCCAGGGGGTGGCGGCCCCGGGGCGCGGCGGGGGCGGGGCGCGGCCCCCTCTCCCGCGGGGCGGGCACCCGCCCCGCATTCTTCATTGGCCAGAGCGGGCTGCGGGCGCGAGTGCTGATGTCAGGCGGGCGCGAGTGCGGCGGGCGCAGCGGCGGCGGCCGCCCAGGAGCCCGGGCTCGGGTGGGGGGGCGCCGAGTGGGGGTGGTGGCCAGCATGCTGCTCGGCTGCGGCTCGGCCTCCCACACCCGCGGCGCCCTCGTCCTCATCAGCAGCGGAGGCGGCGGCGGAACAGCGAGCGGCGCCCGGGTCCGCAGAGGCGCCGGGTCCGAGCGCGCGGCGCGGCGGCGGGGATCGGGGCTGGGGCGGGGACCGGGGACCCGGCATGGCGCTGCGGAGGGGCGGCGGCGGGGCTCCGGGGCTGCTGCTGCTGCTGCTGAGCGCCGCGTGCTTGGTCCCGCCGAGCGCGCAGGTGAGGCGGCTGGCGCGCTGCCCCACCACTTGCAGCTGCACCAAGGAGTCCATCATCTGCGTGGGCTCGTCCTGGGTGCCCAGGGTTGTGCCGGGCGACATCAGTTCCCTGTGAGTGAGTGGGACCCCTCCAGCCCCCGCCCCGCCTCGCCCTGCGCTCGTCGCAGCCAGGGAGTCGCTTCTGGCGTTGGGATGGCGCGACCTGACCCCACTCCCCAGGCCGTTCCTTCGTGTTCGGGTGGGGGCGCGCTGTGGGACGTGGGTGGAGTCTCGGGCGCTGGGCAGGATGGAGGGAACCGAGACGCAGAATCTGGGAACCCAGACAAGTCCCTGAAGCAGTGCTTCTCCAAGTGTGGCCCGCGGGCCACCTGCATGGGGCTCACCTGGGGGAGGCTGTGCCAATGCAGATTCTGGGGCCCGCGCTGAACGAAGTAGGGGCTCTGGAGTGGAGCCTCGGAGTCTGCACCTGGCGTCCCCAGGCCATTCTGAGGTGCATTCAAGTTCGAGAGGATGTGTGTATGTTTGGAGGGGGGGGGTTGTGTATGGGCGTGTGTATGTAGTGAGCGTGACTGGAGTGAGTGTGCCCTGGAAGAGGGGAGGCCTCACTTTCCCACCTCAAGTCTGGGGCTTCGTCACGACCTCTCTACAGTTCAGGCTGGGAAGAACCTGGGTAAAGTCATACAGCCTCTGGAAGTGGGGTGGGGTGGGGGTGCGGGCTGCCCCACGTGGCCTGGAAGAGGGGAACACTGAGGGCTTGGAGCCTTGGGGCATGGGGGCACCCAGCCCAGTGGTCAAGTGCTGCAAGTCAGCCTGACTTTTTGCCCAGAGTCCAGAAGGGCTTCTCCCCCTCTCCTCGCACCACATATTATACTGGCTGCTTTTCCAACACTGGAGGAATTGATGGGAAAAGGCTCCACATCATTTACCCACCAGCTAAGAGATGCTTTCAACCTGCTCCACACAACCACTCAAGCCACATGACCAGCTCTCATAATGGCTGTGAACGGGGCTACTGGGCTGTATCTTCACTGCTGGGAAATGTTTCCTGCTGAAAGGACTCCCTCATTCCAGGCCAGGGTGCTGGGGGAAGCCCACTCAGTTGCAGAGGAAGGGAATTCCCAGGTGTAGCTGCTGTGCTCAGGGCACTTCCTCCTGCACTACACGGTCCAGCCTCACACGCCTGGCAAGGCGCAGGGGCCTGGGCCCAGGAGTGAAGGGCTTCCTGTTTGCATTTCTAGAAAGTTAGGAGTCTGGCTGGCAGGCAGAGAGGGCCTTTTTGGTTTCCAACGTTGCTAAATCGGGTGGCATGGAGGATTCCAGAAATTAGAATTCCCCTTGTTAAGTCCTTTAGACCAGCAGCTGCTTAATTTATCTGCATGCTAACTGAAGTAATTCTGAAATCATGTGTTGAGTTCCCACTGAGGCCAGAGAGGATGGGGGACCTGGTGGCAATAATACAGCCAAGCCTCTTGCCCCCATATTAACCATTAAATCTGGCAGATGGCATTGCCTCCTACTGCACATTCAAGTTCAGGTGCCTCTGAGTTTCCCCCGAGGCTTTCACGGTGCGTTTAATCAGAAGTGCTCCGAGTGTCTTTCAGAGACGGGCTCCCAAGGGGAATGCTTAATCCTACCCCGGAGTTTTGTTGGCCAACATTAACGCTGTGTCTACACAAACAGAATCATGGGCAGAGGAGAAGTAATTATCCATTGCAGCCAGGGCCTTCTGTAGTTAAGAAAAAGAAAGCGGGGGTGGGGGTGGGGTGGGGGGGGTTGATTTAAGCTGGCTGAGGAAACCTCGAGGAAGGAGCTAGACTGATTTCTGTTATTCAAACTAGTTTTCATATTGATCCAGTTTGTTGGAACATGAACTTGACTCCTCTTGTCCCTGCCCTAAGAGGCCCCTGGCCAGCTCTCTTAAGACTCATTCCTGAGTGGAGGCATTTGAAGTGTGGGTGGAGGATCACGCCGGTTGCCCATCCTGCCCAGCACTTCTCAAACAACCCAGGCCTCTTTTGCTTGTAGGAGCCTGGTAAATGGAACGTTTCCAGAGATCAAGGACCGAATGTTTTCCCACCTGCCTTCCTTGCAGCTGCTGTGAGTATGGCAAGTTCTCCCTGGAAAATGGGAGTCCTGGAGGTGCGGTCCCGGGAGGGGTGATCTCTGTGTCCCTGATATCAGCTCTTCCTGCAACACTCAAGCTCACGAGTAAAGCATGGCAGGCTCTTAGTGAGAACTTGGCCTGTGGTGTTCCCACCAGGCTGGGTCTGAAGGCTCTTTGTCCTGTTCTTCTTCTGGCACATGTTCTCCTCAAGGACTTCATTGTAGATCCCAACCCCCACATCTGGCAACTAGGAATGTGATTCCATTGAAATGTGACCGGAACTTCACCTAAATGAACTGTTTCCCTCACTTTAAGAGAAAGAAAAACCTACAGTTTAACATCTTAATGTTGCACCTGAAATAGCAGTATTTCTAGTTGATTGAGTACATACACTGTTGGGAAGCATACTATGCAAAATTTTATTTACTCATTCTATTATCCCTGCAAGGAGGGTATTTTTACTTCCCCAGTTGACAGATGAGAACATTGAGGTTCAGAGAAGTTAAGTAACTTGCTGGAAATCACAGCAAGAATTCTAACCCATACTTGGAACTGTTCTACATCCCGGCCACTCTTGGCATGTGCCTATGCCCTGCCTCGCTGCCCAGGTCAGCTCATGTTTGCAAATGAAAAGAAATATCCAGAAAGCAGCTTTCGAAGTGACAAACAAAGTCATGAGTACATAGCTCAGTCTCTGTTTATTTATATTGGTTTCTTAAATTTGAGATGAGATCAAAATTAAGCAATCTAGTACAGAAAAATATGAAGAAATGTAGATTACTGCCCATCCTAAGTAAGTTTAATGTTGATATTTTTGTTCTTGAAATGTTATGTACCTACTTGTAACATTAAATTATGAAATTTCTTAGAAATTCTGGGTCTATTAAAATATGCTTTCCATGTGATGGGAGTGCAGTTTTAGGTATTTTACCAAATAGACTTCAGTGGTAACTATGTAGAGTATATAAACTTTTAGCAAGTATACTTCGGTGGTGACTCATAAAAAACTATTTGGTGATAAAGAGTCTTCTGAAGGTTTCCTAAACTTTAAAATAAATTATTCCTCATAGGAATATATAATATAGTAGAAAAGTATTTACTCATTTATTTAATTTCAGCTGTGTGACTTTGGTGAAGTCACCTAACTTCTCTGAGCTCCAATTTCCCTAAAAATAAAATTGGAGTAGTTCCTTTTAGATCTTCAATCCCACAGTTGCTTGTGCATCATAGAGCGTTCACTGGCTGTGTCGTTGTGCTGGTGTTGGAATGTTCTGAAATAACATCTCTCAGGCCAGATTCACTGGGACTCACAGGGGAGAAAGGGTAGAGTAATGGGGGTGGCCAAAGGGGATCCATTTGCCATTTTCTATCAGCATCTGTGAGTTGGGTTGTGCACGTCATGGGCCAGCCTGAGGCTGAGAAGAGCTCATATTTGCCCACAGATCCGAACATAAATGGCGTCACTATGGGACTCCAGTTTTCCATCTCTGCATTGAAATCTGCCCTTTATTTTCAGATTGCTGAATTCTAACTCATTTACAGCCATCCGGGATGATGCCTTTGCTGGGCTTTTTCATCTTGAATACCTGTAAGTGTTGTGCTTTGTCTGTTTGCTGAGCGTTTGGTACGTCAGTAGAAGGGCTGTTTGGCTTGGAAAGCCAAACAGCACCTCTTACAGAACTTAGGGGTGGAGAAAACCCCATTTTCTTTTCAGTGCTGACCTTTTGTAGTTTACTTGTGTATAAACATGCTGGGACTGGAGGAGGTTGGGGACAAAGAGGGGGAACGAAAACAAAGAAGGAAAGAGATTCATTCATTCTCCGCTGACATTTAATTTGTCATGTAGTAAGCACAGTTGGAAATTGCGTTGGATATTTTTACCTCTCAGAACTAGGCATGGATTTGCTGATCAGCCAGAAATAAAGCGAAAGGATTCTGAGAGTTTCTTATTTTTACATAAAGTCTCCCTATAAGGGAATCAACTTCACCTTTTTAATTCAGCTGGCCTGTGTCCCACTTGCTGTGTCTCCTGTGAGCTGCTGATGGGGGTCTCATTTTCTTTCTTCTTTCAAAAAAGATCATTTTTTCCTTTTCAGATGTGCAGTTTTTCCTCAGCAATGAGCTTTGCCCTCCCAAAGACAGGAAAAGATTTCTGTTTTTCCTTCCTTTCGTGTATTTTGTTTCCGCTTAAGTTTTTTCATCCTTGTCTTTTGTAACTTTGTAATAATATTAATCCTACTATCAGATGGGATTTCCTTCCTTAGCATTCAGAGGGGTTTTTAAAGCCTCCTCTCTGCTTTCTTATCTAAGGAGAACAGGTAGATGTTTGAATTCCAAACACATCCTGGGTCTAAGGAAGCTCTCAGCTGAGCTCATGGTCTCAGGAAGAATGTTTCTGGAGTTCCTTCCCCAATGTGCACATAACATGTATGCTTTCGTGACACTGTGATCATGTATTTAACATGGAGACAAGTAGTGCTGGGTCTAGCTAGGTTCTGTCAAAGCACGAACAGGCCATGGAGGGACAAAATGTGAAGCGACCAGTTTTCTCTTAAGAGCAGTTCATCTTATTGTCAGGGTGACTGAGAAGGAGGTTAGGTCAGTTTATACTGAAGTCTGTCACTGAATAGACCCCTGATTTTTATTTATTTATTTATTTATTTATTTATTTACTTACTTATCCCCATCTTAGGACATTTCTGCACTTATCTTCAGATAGAGCGGGAGGGAGAAAGGGAGGAAGAGAGAGAGAGAAACATCGATGTGAGAGAGACACATGGAGTGGCTGCCTCCCTGCACCACCCCAATGGGGGTCGGGGACAAACTGCAACCAAGGTACATGCCCTTAGCAGGAACCAAACCCAGGGCTCTCTGGTCCCCAGGCCGACGCTCTAACCACTGAGAAAAATCGGCCCCTGGGCTAGACCCCTGATTTTTAAAGAGCAGGCACCAGAAAGTTCTCAGTGCAAGAATCAAGGACTATTTCATTAACTAGTGGCATCGTGTTGCAAAGCCTCTCCCTTGGACCACCTCATCAAAGACCCTCTTTCATTTGACAGAATGTGATGCCTTCACCTGAACTGTAGGTCTCTGTGGCCCTAGGGTCATAGTGCATCTATTTCTCACGAAGCCTTTAAAGTGTGGCCAGTTAGTATTAATGCAGGATCCTGCACTCAAGCCCTAAGACGATTTAGTGCAGAGAAAGAGGTTTGACCCCCACACAATGCCATTATGTTCCCTACTTCCTGGTGCCTTCAAGGTCTTGAGAGGACCCTGCCCTGTCACCGATTTGTTCAGAAATTAGACTATGTAGGACATGATGAACTCAGCGTTTGCCAGAAGCCAAGCTTAACGGAATTCTCCCTCAGCAAAAACGAATAAGGAGATGTGGAACAGTGGGCTGTCCTCAAGGGACAGCACTCTCAACAAAAGTATTAATATCCAGGCTGTGAAATGTAAGAAGGGTTGACCATCGGGAGCATTCCAGGCTTGCAGAGATATGAATAGTCTTGCCTTTATAGGGTGCTTTCTTCTTTTTCCCTCCAAGAAGTTCTTACCCACGTTGCTAACTTGAATGTGAAGACCTCCGTGCTGCTTCTGGAGAGAATGCAGAACACGGAGTGTCCATGAGCTGTTGTGTGTACACTTGCTCCCACCGGAATCCGGTGTAGATGACCTACTCTTCAGGGATGCATTTTTAAAATTCATGAATGCTTTCAGACTTTATTCCAAAAGCATACCGATATCTTTATTTATTTATTTTTTTAGAGCTGTTAAGCTGAGAAAATTCAGTTTAATTATACTGCTGTTCTCCTTAGGTTCATCGAAGGGAACAAAATAGAAACCATTTCAAGAAATGCCTTCCGTGGCCTCCGCGACCTGACCCACCTGTAAGTCCTATGAAAAGTGTTTTCAATCCTTTAATGTATAAAGGAAGATTCACTTCCTGGTGCCTCTCTTTTTTCTGGACTGTTTTGTCCTTATTGTAACATTATCTGAATGAACCTAATCTCCAGATCGCCCTAGAGTCTTCTGTATTGTCTTGATTTTCCATCATTCTGGATGGTCATCGTGGACCACGTGACTGCCGTCAAGTAGGAAGTGCGCTGAGCTTCGAGGGGCCTGTGTGAGTGACGGAGGAGGCGGGAAGGAAAGGGACGTGCACTGTACACCTGTTCTGCGCCCGGCACAGGGCAGCATGCTTAGGGTACCTTTCACTATGATCTGTGAGTGCCCATCTTACAGATTTAGGGACTGAGGCTTACACGACTCATAGAGGAACGTGGAGTGCAGGGTCAGAATCAGGACAAAACGGAACAGAGACATTTTTGTGGTTCCTCGAACTTGAATGCAAACAGCTTTTTCTTTTATGTTGGATTAATCGGCAGCTTAAGTGAAACTCTCTGGTTTTTTAATAGCTTTCTGGAGAAACAAATTAGACAAATTGATTTGAATTGGCCTATGAGAATAAAGCAAGTTCACACGTTTAGCAAATGTAGAAAACTGGAAGAAAGAGTGACTGTGTTTATGAAAATATAAAAAATAGTCATTACCTTGGTAGGAGCCATTTATTAGCCAGGGATCAGGTGCCGTCTGTGGGAGAGATGTTTTGTGTTTGAGGACGATCATGTGTCTCACCTCCATCGTCAGCTCGCGCGTGGTAAGAAGAGAAGTCAGGAAATGGAAGGGCTTTGGATGGGGGTTGCAAGGGGCGGTGATACCCTCAGTGTGTGGCACCCTGACTGGTACGGCATCTAAAGAGATCATCTTTTATATCAAGCCCTGATCCAGGCAACGGGGGCTGGCCCCAGGCTCAGTGAGCCCTTGATTCTGGAATCCTCCCAAGCAGGACCTCTGCCTGAGCTCAGAGTGAGGCCATCAGAGGCCCAAACCTCTGGATTGGCACAGTCATCTGGAGGCCATCTGACTTTTGTTGGCGTTATTGCTTCAGGTTTTCTTTTCCTGAAAAAGCTTTTTTGTTTTTCAAATTCAACCTAGATGCTGAATCCCCACATTCCTGTAGAAGCTAAGACAAGGGGCTTGGAGTTACATAGACTTGGGTTCAAATCTCAAGGCCATCATTTATCACTGTCACTTAGCCTTTTGAACCTGTTTGCTCATCCTGAATATGGGATGATGCTGCTGACCCCAGAGGATTGCCACACACGGTGGCGAGTGCTCCAGGTGGGGTCGGCATTGTTACCATCATCAGTGCCGTCATCAGCAGCAGCAGCATCGTTCCCTTCCTCCACTCAGTAAGAAGTCTCAGTTTTCTCTGTGGACTGCTGAGTAGCTTTGGCAGTTTGGGTGGCCAGACGGGGTCTGCTAAGAAGACAGCTGTGGGCGTCTGGAGAGGAACAGCTGTGATCAGACAAACCCGGTTCCCAGAAGTCAGGAATGAGGGGCTTTGTTTGAAACAAAGACTCTGGGCAGATTGTGAACCCGAAGCAAAGCTCATGTGACTGAGTTAGCCCAGATGTCAACTTTCATTTGACCAATTGGCTATGGTCCTTGGTCCAAAAACAGGTGAGAACATGCAGGTATTATGCATGTATATTTGTGTAGTTTTGCACATGTGTGCCCATGGGTGTATGGACTTCTCTTCATGTGTGTACATAACTGTTTGTGTACATGCTTGCGCATCTGCATACACGACTGTATGTGTATATCAGATGCATATATGTTTTAAGAGGCATTTCCTTCACTGTGTACAATGCAGAGGGAAGAAAGCAGTCCTCTGCTTGGGTCTAGAGCGCACCGGATGCATTAACACACCTGTCCCAGTAGGTATTGCCACCCGGCAGTCAAGCCAACAGAGTCCCCCTCTCCCCGCTCTCCAACCTCATTTCCCTAAATGTGCTCAGGACACTGGGCTCTCAGGGGGCCCCCATGCACACCTAACTCATCCCATTCCCCGGCTTTTCCTCATATCCTTTCTCTTGCCCTGAATGCTGTTTCCTCCGCCCACGAGCTCCTGGACTCTGCTTTTTCTTCAAAGTCCAGATTAAGTTCTGTCTCCCACATGGAGCCATGTGGGTCTTCCTGTGAGTCCTGTAGCCTTCCCTCTTGGCTCCCACACCCAGCACTTCACTGTAGACTTGGGCCATACTGGTTGGTGCCATTTCGTGGGTATTAGTTTTATCTCCTAGCAGCTCCCCAAAAGCTCCCCAAGGGGAGGGCCCACGAGGCTCTTCCGTGAACTCTGCTCTTCCCTGGCATCCAGCACAGGGATAAGCCACAAGGAGTTCTTTCCGATTCTCTGGTTGGCCCGTGGGCTCCTTACTGCGCTGGGGTTTTCCTATGGACTCCACTTCTGGGCAAGTTAGGTGACTTTTAAAGCGGACCCCTCTAGCCTGCAGATGCATGTAGTAATTAGAGCATTTCATACATTGTTTAAGAATGGACTGATCCTCCCACTTCCCCCCTTTTTGGTAAACTTCTCAGCAAAGATCACACATCAGCTCTCTGAAGTTCTCTCCTGTGATGAAGGAAGTCACTCTCTGGAATTTGCTTGTTTCACTATCTCATTTCAATCGTTCGTGAACTTTTCCAGCACCTGCAGGGTCCCATGTACATGTAGAGAAACGCAGGTCGGGTTTCAGAGCAGCAGCGCCAACCCGCAGGTACAATCTGGGACATTTGTCTTCCAGCAGCCCCAGGAAGCCCAAGGGACAGATCGCTGTTAAGTAGTTTTAGAGATGAAGTAAGTGCCATGAATTTGTAGATAAAATGAAGTGGAAAGTGAGATGTTACGCACTGAGTGTGAGTGGGGTGGATGGTCCCTCTAAATAATTCAGCTTCCTGAAGTCCAATCGCACACTTGGAACGGCCGCCTGAACAGTCTGCTTCTTCAGCCTCAAATATTCCATATATTCTGATCGCTTGAACATGATGCATTTCAAATAGCTAAAACAATTTAGCTGAATAATGAAACTTCAATTAGCTAAAAAAAATGTTGCACCTTACTTTTCAGGTAAACTAATCATCAACCAGGAAAAAAACAAACACATTCTTTTTTTAATTTCAGAAAGCTAGAGTATGTTCAGTCTGATTACATATTCAGTCTATTTCCCAACATGTTTAAAAATGTACAGATAAATCATTGAGGAAAGACAGGCTTAAAAGTACATGAACTTGTATTTTAATCCAATTGTGGTTACCTAGATGCAAAGGGTCTCTTCATATGCTGTAGTATCTTGAAGCCAGAATGGTTGGTTAAAAATGGGCTCAAAGCCTTCTACTCTAGCTGTTTCTAAGGAGGAATACTAATTTCTTTAATTCCTCTTTCTGGGATGGGTCATTTTGAGGCTACAAAAGACTAATTTTATATATATGTACACACACACACGCACATTTATGGTGATGAATTGCCTACATGTTTATCATTTATAGTTTTGCTATTTGTACTCACGTGTAAAAGAGAAAAGCAGCCATCAGTTCTTGGCTGACTCATATTCGAGCACAAAGCCTGGGGGAAATCACAGCCTCGATGTACATCGTTCCAGCACCCGGCATCTTTCAGCATCAGCAGCCCAGCTCATGGACATTCGTCTTTAGCAGGATGTTGACAGGGCACTGCAAAATCCCGAACCATTCGAGAAAGAGTTGCTGCTGCTCACTCAAGTCAGCCCGGGAGACGGGAAGTGGCCTGGGACCTTTTAGAAAGCTCTGCAACCCTAAGAGCAAAAATGCAACATGGTTTCTGGGCAACCTTCGTTAATGAGGAAATGAAACTGATCACTGTCGTTCATTCCCTAAACAGGGTTCATCGATATTTTATATCACTGTTATGGTTAGAGATGAGGGTCTTTAGATAAAAGCATATATATATATATTTTTTTAATCCTTACCCGAGGTATACTATATATATTGCACTTATCTTCAGAAAGAGTGGCAGGGGGAAAGGGAGGGAGGGAGAGAGAGAGACACATCGAGTGGCTGCCACCCACACGACCCCAAATAGGGCCGGGGACAAACTGCAACCGAGGTATGTGCCCTTAGCAGGAACCGAACCCGGGACTCTCCAGTCCACAGGCCGATGCTCTACCCGCTGAGCCAAGCTGGCCAGGGCGGTAAAAGCATATTTACTGAGTACTTTCTTAGAGTCACAAGTGATAGAATTCAATTAAGTGGACCATTAGGGAACTTCTCTGCACAAGACTATATATCTTTTTTTTTTTTAATCATTGTCATTTTAGTGTATAATTCATCCATTCAACAAAGATGTACTGAGTCCCTACTGTGTGCCAGGCACTGTTCTATGAGTTGAGGATACAGACATGGACAAACGGAAATCTTTCCTCATGCTCCTTACATATAGGGAAAATACACAGTCAATAAACAGATAGATAAATGTATAGTAAGCCAATAACAGTCACACACTGAAGAACAGAGCAGGGGCGGGAAGGTGGTGATAGTCGAGGACAGATGTAAGGAGGTGATCTCGGAGTGAGCTCTGTGGTACCTGGGGGATGGACATTCTAGGCAGATGGATGGCGTTCTGAGACCTTGAGCTGGGACTGTGTTTCTCCTGTCTGAGGAATAACGAAGGAGCCAGTGTGGCTGGCTCTTGGTGGTGAAGACGGGGTCCCACGGACAGGTGGGAATGGAGGTAAACTAGACAATGAGGGTCTCACGTGCCATCAAAGGGACTTTGGCTTTTATACTGAGAGGCATGAGCGCTACTTGAAGTTTAACAAATGTATGTCAAGAGCTTAATAAATGCTTGTAAAACAAAACAATAGACCTACATTGTACTCCAGCATTTCTAATGTTATCTTTATATAACTAAACTCATTTCTTTATCTCACTATTGATGACCAAAGCCAGAAATTGAACCACGTTGTGCTGAAGCTCTGTTTCGAGCTCTGTTTGAAATCACTACTTTATTTAAGGGACTTCAGAGTAATAGGGCTTGAAGATAATAACCGCATTAAAATGTTTCTTTCTTGTTCTAGCTCTTTGGCCAATAACCACATAAAAGCACTCCCAAGAGATGTCTTCAGTGATTTAGACTCACTGATTGAACTGTAAGTTGATGAAAATCAAGTTTATGTCTGCCTGTCATTGTGCCCGAGTTAATCATGTTTTTAAATTCTCTCCCCCCTTGCAGCATTTCTTCTGCGTTATAAGTAAAATGTCTGTGATAGAGGCGTGCCCACTGGGAAACAGCATAGAGTCTATGTATTGGGTTGGATTTTGCCATTTTAGAATATACTTAGTAGCATTAGGCTCTTTCCCCCAGGTAGGGTATCCATCTGTTTTACCTTCTAGTGTTTGTCACTTTGTTTTTATTGTTAATCCTCACCTCAGTATATATATTTTTTTCATTGAGTTTTAGAAAGAGTGGAAGGGAGGGAAGGATGTGGGGGGGAGAGAGAGAGAAAGACAGCAAGAGAGAGACATCTGTGTGAGGGAGACACATTGATTGGTTGCCTCCTGAACGTGCCTCAACTGGGGCAAGAGATTGAACCTGCAACCCAGGTATGAGCCCTTGACTGGGAATCCAAGCCCTGACCCCCTGGTGCGCAGGCCGACACTCTAACCACTGGGAAACACCACCAGGGCAGTGATTGCCACTTTTTACTGGACATAGTTGAACAAGATCTTAGCGTTTCAATTGTTTGTGAAGACTGGCTTCCTATAACATCCCGCTTTTGTTTGTGAGAACCTGTGTTGGGTGGTGTTCTTCTGTCATTGCTTCTGACCCCGGCATGGGGTCAGTGTCAAGAGTGTTTGGAGAAATGGTGGTATGTTAGCTCTGAAAGCTCTCTGCAGGCTGCATACTGAACACTGTAGCACTGAAGACTGTTAAAGTCAGTGACAAGAACAAGAAGTAGGGTGTATTAAATACAGAAAGTTGTTTAAGTTCCATTTGTGGGGGTATTAAGTATATCAAGATGTTAATCATTCTGGAGCCTCATATTCCTGCTAAAACATTTCAGGCATGTCTGTTTCTCTGTGTCTATGTTTTGTTTTATTTTTCAGAGATTTAAGGGGCAATAAATTTGAATGTGACTGCAAAGCCAAGTGGTTGTATCTGTGGCTGAAGATGACAAATTCCACTGTGTCCGATGTGCTGTGCGTCGGCCCACCAGAGTATCAGGAAAAGAAGCTGAATGATGTGACCAGCTTTGACTACGAATGCACCACGACAGGTAATCACAGGCTCTGTCACCGCAGACTTATTCAAAACAGTCGCTTCGTTTTCTTTCAGATTGTCAACGGGGAGTGGAGAAAAGTGGGCGTAAACATTTTCTGTCAAGATTATTTTAGGCAAAATTTAAGCTCTAAAGGCAATGTATTGATGTGCTAAGGAAAATACCTCAACAGTTTAGATTTTTGTTAACTACACTAGCTTTCATTTTGATTCTTTACAAAATTTAAATTTCTTTAGAGATTATTTTTAAAGGTCAAATATAAACTAGTGAGTTTGACATAAAAACATTTCAAGTCAGGTGGGGTTTCCATAGAAAGCCAGTGCAGAGAGGCCTAAATTACTGCTCTCTTGATTGAATTATTTGAATTTTATGGAACATTTAAGTAATAAATACAAGACTTTCAAATCTAGTAAGTGTGTTTGGAGTTAAAAAGAGATAAATAGGTGAATTATAGCCAATGGCAGAGTAGAACTATAAGTTAACAGTGAGTTGTCAGAAGAAAAAAACTCGTGTTGAGGGAAAAATGCAAAGTTTGATTTTGTTTTCCGGGGCCTGCCTCAAGGTTTCGGTTTATACATTGTTCATGCTGCAGAGATAAAATGAAAACACTAACTGCCTCAAATCCCTACACATCTTGTAGAGAGCAGGGGAGAGTCTCCAGATGAAAAGCTTACTTGGAGTTGCCACCGCTTCCAAAGCCAGACTTTAAGGGCGGGAGGATCAATCCATAGCGTGAAGCCTGCTTATGAGACTTAGAAGACGAGACAGGCTGAGCTCTGGCGTCTGTGGGGCTCCGAGGCATTGCCAGCAGGAGCAGCAGGAACGAGAACCCAGAAAAAGTCACAGAAACTCCAAAGGCAAAGGAACTTCAAGAACAAAATATCACATTTAGGCCGGTCCTGCTGCCGTCTTCCAAACACACACACACAGAGTAAAAACTATTTCTAGATGTCATTGTAAACAAGGGACCCCCCAAGGCCTGTTCTTTTCTGAGAGGAAGCCTGAGATCTTGTGGACGTGACCTTGCGGGGCTTATTCAGCTCTGTCGCTGGCCGAGGCCCCATGCAGGTTACTCACGGTTCTGGGAGCAGGGCAGTAAGTCAGAGGTGGAGTCAGTGACGTGTGCACCCAAAGGTGGCATTCAAGGCCCTTGCATATGAAATACTAAACCAAAGCTCCTCTCTACCTCTTCTCCAGTTTTTCTGGAGAGTTCTCTAACCCCCCAGGTGAAGTTAGCAGCTTTTCTATGGCTCCTGTCACACCTGGCCATAATGTGTGAAAAGTTTGCCAAGCTCTGAGAGAAATGACCTGGGCTACAGAGGGCCTTGGGGGATTGGGAATAACTACCAGGAGGCAACATGATTTCTGCCCTTCGAGCCCTGCGGATGGTTAGGAAATGTTCCGGGCTCTCAGAATTGTCAGGGAATGGAAGGGACTTGGAACTGAGGTGACCAGGTCCTGAAATCTGTCTTAAACCCAGAATCCATGGGGCAGTGTGAGCCCCTCACGCATTTTAGGGCATTTTTCTCTCTTATATTTCTCTTTGCTAAGAAGCTTCCTCCTGAAATGTAGAGTCGCCACTATTCCCTGGTAGCAGGCAGAGGATGATTCTGTCTTTGTTATTGTTTTATCCCTTTAAAAACTCATGAGCAGATTGACTCTTGCTCCCAGTTTCTTCCATCATGAAAAAAATAGCACAGCCAAGGTGGAACCTGTCCCCAAATAGAGTCCCTGCCTCGTAAGAACATAGGTCAATAAATTGTGAGTGTTTTGGGTTCCTAGCTCCTGCTCAGATCAAGTGCCTTCTCCTGACGCTTTGGCAAAGGCCAGGGAAGAAATACCTGAGGAGGAGGGAAAGCCATTCCTAGGTCCTGGTACTGTTATCACATCCTCGCCAAAGGTTTGGGAAGAAGCATATTTTCTTAGTGTGTGATTTTCCTCTTAGCTCAGATTTTCAGGAAAACAGTGAGTTCTCCAGGCGGAAGGAGGGAGGCAGACGCTGTCCTTCCCAGGGAGAGGAAGGTGCTGTTACAGTCTGTTCCAGGCAGGGGGTGTAATTAACACCACGAAGCAAACGCAGACTGTTTCAGCTCTCTAGATTAATCCCAGTCGTTCCAGAACCTTCCACCTTAAGTCTATTTTTAACCACCTCAAAAATCCCTGTGACCTGCTCATGATTCCCTGTGTTAGGTGGATAATTCACTAAATTCCTTAGAGGGAGTGAATTTTGCATCCTAATGGTCCTGTTAGCTTCCCCATTTCAGGGCTGATGAAAATGCAAAGAGAAATAATGCATTAATGTGCAGTTTCTCTCCCAACAGGATAGGCATCATGTATAATTTATTTCCTGCAAGTGCTATAAATAGCTACGTAAAAATCTGTTGATTCCAGTGGGAGCCATGCCTGAACTGGAAGAGTCCCACTGACATCATGAACTTAATCCAGTGTGAATGGAAGTGGCAGGCTTTCGCAGAGATACCGGTAATACTTAAACACCAGTAAATTAATGTCATATCAATATGCGCATTCTCTGAGAGCTTTCCGCATGGATGTGCTCTGCCATTTGTGAAAGATAAATTAGGAGGAGGATGGAAGAAGAGATTTAAATTAGAGTCCCCTCCCCCACGCACACAATCACATAGACCTCCATCATTCTCTTCCACCTGCTTCTTCCTCTTTTTCTTCTCTTCCTCACCTTTTTTATGGGGGGAGGGGGCAGGGTCTCTTATTAAGAATTTGATTTATAATTCAAAGGACCTAATAGGCTGTGTTGTGCCAGATACTCAGTTTACAGGAAATAGGATGAAAGCCATGTTTTGGGAAAATAAATAACAATCCGACCACGGAAGGCTAGATTAGTAAAATGCTCTCCCCGCTGGCAGCTCTTTCTCATTCTGGGATTCGTTAACAAACAACTGACCTTTGGGTCTGCCCTGCGCGTGCCCTGCGCTTCCAAGCAGGGGCTCCTGTTTCCGAGAGCCAGCGTGCAGTCGGGAGGCCACCAGCACAGGAGCTTCTGCAGACTTGGCGTGGCCGGGCGCCACTGGATGGAGGAGCGAGGGGTATAGCAGTCTCCGTGGTAGTTAAAAGAGGGCCCCTGTATCCTGCGAGTCCTTTTCCAACTCCAGAACAGGAGGCAGCAGGCTCGCCACCACGTCCCCGCCCAGCGACACGAGAGCACGGGGTCTCGGAGCCTGTCGTCAGCCAGCACCTCCTGGCTTCGACTCTGGTTCTGCCCGTGCCAACAGGAAACCCGAGGCTGATGTGTTCTGTTTTCCTCTTTGGCTGGTCAGTGCTGGTGTTTTGGGGTGTTGGTCGGGGGTTGGGGCTCAGAGCCATTGTGACTGTCCCGTATCCTCACGCAGACAGTGTAATGTTACCGTCGGAACTCTGACGGTGTAACTACATGTATCTGCTTGGTTACCTGGAGACACTCCTGAGGGGCTACCGTAGACAGGGCTCTGTGCTGATACCTACAGTACTCTCCTTTAGTCTCTACAACCTGTGAAAGAAGTATCACCCCCATTTTGCTCACGAGGAACCTGAGGCTCAAGTTTCTTGCCCAAGGTCACAGACGCCAAGTGCAGGTGGGGACCTGAAGCCCAGTCTGTTTTACCTCAGAGCCCCAGCCCCTGGTTTGGGGGAGGGTCCCTCATCCACAGCAGTGCCTGTCCCACTCCCCCTTGGCCACTTCCTGCTGCCAGGGTGCAGAGGCAGCCTCCTCTTTGCTTCTCGGTCTCCCCCCTACACCTGTTCAGCCCGGTCCTCTTCCCCCCGTCTTCAGAATGAGCCAGCTGCCCCATTCACTAAGCACCTGCTGTATACAGGGAGGAAAACCTCTGAAAGTTAACATGCACTGGGCACTAACTTTGTGCTAGGTACAGTTCTAAGTGAGAATCATAACGTCCGATGAGGAAACTAAGGCAGAGCAAGGTTAAGTAACTTCCCCAAGGTCACTCAGCAGGAAGGTAGAGTCATAGCTCTGGCATCTTAGATGCAACGAAAATAGACAGTCCCCCCAAAGACAGCCCAGTGGTGGCTAGGACAGAGGAGGTGGACTGTCTTCTCGTACCTTGATTCCATGTTTATTAAGCAGCTTCTGTGTGCTAGGCCCTGAGTCAGGCATGTCCCCCAATATTACTCGATGTGTCCCTCTGTCATAAGGTGGGGGCTAAGTATCATTGACCCCATATGGTGGATAAGTAAACCGAGGCCTTGTAGGGGGTGCGCACCCAGGGTTTCCAGCGCAGGAAGTGGTTTCAGGCGGCCTGACCCTCGCCACAGTGCTCTCCCATCACCTCCTGTTGCCCGCACTAGCTCAGCCCTGCCCCCTTCCTGCCCCGACCGTCACCTGCTCTTCCCATCATCCCCTTCCCGCTCCAGCCTCGCTCAGCTGCTGCACCTCCTTTCCTGCCTCCGTTCCTTCGGCACTGCCCTCCTCACTCACTGCCGAGTGGCCTTCCTCTTATGCCTCCAAGTCAGAGTCTCTTCTTGAGTGGCTGCCGTGGGCTCATGCCGTGGGGGCTCGGAGACGTGTAACCCAGGTCTGACCGCAGGCAGCGCGTTGTTCAGGAGGCACACCGTGCTGTGAACCCCTGCACAGACCTGCACCCTCTCTGGGCTTCTGGCTCTGTGAGATGACTCGGGGCTCTAAGATTGCTCCCATTTCTCCAGACTGACTCTGATGTGGCTGTGTCAATGAAGACCCAGTCTTCATGAATAACCAGATGTAAACAACAACGCCTGAATGTGTGTCCAATGAATGAGGAAGAGTCCCATGGACTGGGCCAGTCAGGAAAGGCTTTGCAGAGGAGGTGGGCCTTGAGGGGCACCAATAAGGATGGTGTGGGGACTCGGGGTGCAAAGCCAGGATTTTCCTATAGGAGCGACTTTCCCTAGCCAGACCTCCACCATCCTTTTACTCTGGGCGCATTTAACCTGCCAAGAGGAGAGCCAGCTGAAGGCTCTCTGACTAAAGAAATAAGTTACTTTAAATTTATTAGTGTTCTTTTTTTTTCTCTTTCTTCATTGGTTCTCCAGCGACCCCCACACGAACTCTTCTTGCATCCAAGGGCATCCTCACCCCATTCCTTGGTAAAATTGTATGTTCCCTACCGAGATTTAACACAGTGAGTCAGTTGTAGCTCAGGGGAGCCCTGTGGACGAGGAGTATTAATTTACCACTAAATGTAAGTCAAGCACGTGCTCAAATTGGCCGGGTTCTCTGTTGCTTGAAAATGCAATAGATCTCCTGTAAGTGCTGCTGAGCTGCACAGCGCTGTCCAGTCCCGGGCCAGCCGTCACTCTCTGCACTGGTCCAGGAACCAGTGAGCATGCTCAGTGTCCCCACACGGGGGCTTTATAGATCTGAGACTATCGGCGGGGTTGGTTTGGTTTCCAAGTACGCAGTGTGCTCTTCAGGAGTTGCCTGTTCACTGTGAACCTGCCGTGGCAGCTTCTGCACCAGGGTAATGCAGAGTGTGCCAACAGGTGATGAAAGGATCCATGGCCAGGTAAGCTTGAGAACCACCACAGCAAACAGCGCCACATGGGTTTCTTTACTACTGGGGCTCTTCTGAGAGGGCCAGAAATACAGCTTTTCCCAAATGAGTCTGCCCACTGCCGCCCTTGTTCACGGAGGACTTTTTATGGTATCATCAGGAGTGCTCTGTGGCATCCTTCCTGTCTTGCCTTTTTGAAAGCCAGGTCTCACCTGGGTTGTTGAAAACATTGCGATCCTTGAGCCAAATCGGTGAGCTGTTTAGCTCAAAGAAGCTATATGAGGAGCTATGCATTCAGTCTGATCATCCTGTGCATGCAGAACCTTCTGGAATCTCCCAGAGTCAAATACACTATGACGTTTGCGTTGCTTCTCTCCTGTCCTCCCCTCTCCCCCTTTTGGAACTGATGAGAGAGAGGAAAGAAGGGGCGGTGGATAATCCCCACAGGAGATCTCATGGAGCCTTTGTCTTTAAACCCCCTCCCCAGATTTTGTCGTTCATCAGACTTTGCCCTACCAGTCGGTTTCGGTGGATACATTCAACTCCAAGAATGACGTGTACGTGGCCATCGCTCAGCCCAGCATGGAGAACTGCATGGTGCTGGAGTGGGACCACATCGAAATGAACTTCCGGAGCTATGACAACATTACAGGTTTGTGGTGGCTTCGATCAGACGTATTGGCCTAATTTCAGCGAGAGGAGAAACGTTCCCTGCTGTTCCGAGGGACTGCTCGGCTCTCTCACTTGTTTAGTTTTGGGGGACACATTCCAGCCCACCTTTATGTCTGATCTTTTCATGACATGCTCCGTTATTGGTGGCAACAGAAGCCTCAGGTGGTGACCCTGTTTATTGTCGGTGGTGATTCTTTTGAAAAGGGAGAGGGTGATGAGTTACATGTGGTGGGAGGCATTTTCCTGGAGTGGTGAGAGGGGTTTCCTGGAGGGGTTCACCTGGAGAACCCCTTGATCTTCAGCAGTTATGGCAGCCTAAGCCTGCAGCAACTTTGTAGCAGCTAAATGACTCCTTAGAGTATTGTTAAGGTGATTGTTAACTAATGTGCTAATAAACACACACACACACCGGCAAGTGTGCTTGTGCACACACACATACACATGCATGCACAGACACACATGCAGGCACACATGTATATACATGGATGCACACACATGCAGGCCCAGGTGCACACACGTATTATCATGAACACACACGCACACATGCATGTAACACACATCCACTCTCTAGCTGTTCTTCCTGCCCCCTTGCCAGATCCTGGTGATCACTGCTTCCTTTTATTAAGTGCAAACAAAATAAGAGCACATCGCTCTAAATTCAGGTCTTCGGGACAAGATGTAATGCTCCTGGCCGCGCCGGCAGGAGATCCAGTGTCTTAGTGCTGCTAAAAATGCACGGTCGACTTGCTTTTTAAATAAGCAGATAAAGTCAAAATAACCTTTCAAAGACTTCCCATTTATCAAGTGCAACCTGATAATAATACGAACTGTATGAACAGCAGCACAACGGCCCAACGGTTACCCCGAGAGAGAATTTCCCGTAGCGGTTGCCGACGTGCAGTCGGAGCAGCGTTTTGCTGTTGCAGCGAGAAGCGCATTAGGTAGGATTTCCGGGTGGGGAGGCTCCCAGGAATCTGTCTGGCACCAAGTGGCTTCGCAGCAGGTGCAGGGATGTAGGGAGGCAGGGAACGTGTCATAATGAGCCTCATCTCGCGGCCCTGAGAGGTCTGCGAGACGCGCATGCAGATGCCACTGAGGGGCCATTTCAGAGGAGCCACGTTGCTGTCCGCCATCTGGCCACCTGGTGCTGAGCTCACATTCCTGAGAGCAGCCCCGCTCTTGTCGAAGTGCAGATTCAGCACTGAGAGTGCAGGTGAGCCTGTCGAGGGAAGCCGAAGCCTTCGGACCCTCAACCCAGTCCACAGTAAAGGAAGAAGGGAGGCAAAAGGGGGACTCGCTACCCACGTGTTTTTGCTTTTCTCTTTTTCCTGACTTGGAAGGTAGGTGAGGGGGGATTGAGCAGGGTCCTCTGCCTTCTCCCCATGATAGGAGGGGGCAGCAGAGTGAAGCTTTGCTCTGGTGCGGGGAGTTTCGTGCCAGTGTTTGTTGCCAGTGCCGGCTGTGGGCCTGTGAGGTGCCAGGCACTGGTTTGTGTCACTGGAAATTCACAGCAGCTGCCCTTAGGTAGAGGACAACTGGCATCCAGACTAGAAAGAGCTCAGGTTTTGAAAACTGGCGAATGTGGGTTCCACTCCTGACTGCCATGTGCTAGGAAGTTGTGGTGGCCCGAGGCTGTTTCCTCATCTGTGAAATGGGCAGACATACCACATGCGGATGTTGTGAGGATTTGAAGAATGCCAGGCGCAGCACAGGCAGTTCTTTATGCCAGCTTTCTTTTCACACCTTTACAGGGGAAGAGAGGTTGAGGCTCAGGCACGTTGGGTCACTCCACTGTGACTTCCGAGGCAGAGCCCAGCGTCTGTCACTGTTACATCCCATGTCTCCCCTCTCCCAGGCTGACCTAGGTAGGAAGGGCTGGCACTGCCCTCCACCTATAGCTGGTGGCATGCCTGAGTTCAAGTCATTCATTCATTCATTCATTCATTCATTCATTCATTCACTCACTCACAGAGATTTCTTGAGCACTTACTCCGAGCCAGACACAGTCTTGGTGCTGGGACCACAGCAATAAACAAACCAGATGGAAACCTCTGCCTTCAAGGAATTTACATTCTAACAGGAGAGAGAGACAATATAAAAGACAAATAGTTGTAATCCATACATCACTTAGATAGCAGCATGCTAAGCAGTGAAACAAAGGTAGGCAAGGGAGCTTTGGAGTGCTGGGTGTGGGAGGATTGGAATTGTAGAGAGCGTCTGGAAAAGGCCTCATTCAGCAGGTGTTATTTGTGTCAGACCTGTCAGACACGATGGCTTGATCCACATGGAGAGCTGGGGAAAGAAAATTCCAGGCAGAGGGAGCAGCAAGTGCAAAGGTCCAGAGGCAGGAGGGTATGTTTCTGATTCGGGTAATTCAGGGGACCAGTTTGGCGTGAGCACAATGATCCAGGGAAGAGTTGCAGGAGACAAAGTCAGCGAGGTAAGAAGTTAGGGTTTGGGGGGAAAGGAGGCCGGCTCCTGTTTCCTTTCACTGTTTAAGGGAGACAATAGTCCATGTTGTGAGGTTATGATGTTTACAAGAGAAAAGGCTTATAAAGCACTGCATACATGAATGTTAGTTGCCTTCTTTTGAGTGAAAAATTATGAGACAATGAATGTGATTTGTGTTTAATGGAAATTCATGTACTAAGGGAGTAGAGAAGACATATTTTGTTCCAATCAGGTCATCAAGGAATGCTTCCTGTAGGAGGCCGCATTTGAGGCTGGAGGCCTTGCAGGTCCTACAAAGGACTTGGGCTTTTACTCTGAGGCCTCGGCAGAGCCTTGGAGGGTTTTTGCAGGGGTCAGAGGGAGGCACAGGAAGAGGCAGGTGCCCGGCATAGAGTGCTGGGTTCTGTCCAGCAGGGTTGAGAAGCCTGTGGGAGAAGGAGCAGAGGTAGGAAAAGAGTGAGGAGTGGAGAGGCTGTTGCAAGAATTTCAGATAGGCACCGATGGTTGGACGCCGTGGAGTCCCCACGTGGTGGGTAGAAAGTGGTCTGTGAAGTCAGAGTGGGCGTGGCCACGACCAGAGCCAGGGCTGCACCTTGCTAGTTGCCAGCAACTCCTTCGGCCCTCCGTCTCGAAGTCTAAATCTCTGCGAGGTGGGCAGCCAGCCATGAAGCCCCTTGGGATCCTCTTCCTAGCCAAGCCCAAGAGATGAGCTCCAACAGTGATGTTTGAGAAAAGGGGCCCCAGACCTTTCTCTCTGGTGACATTGGCCAAGTTAGTTAACTTCCGTGAGCCCCTTTCGTTTGTAAAATGGAATTTCATGAATTCCCATTTCATTTGCACAGTGGGGTCATTGTCATACGAGACCCATGGAATTTAATGGGGGTGATGTGTATAACACTTAGCACAGAGCCTGGTTAGTCAACTCTCAGTGAATGTCGGGTTATCAGCTGTGGTAAGAACAGGTATTTGATTACCATTCCTCACTGCCACCACTAGGGGAAGCTACCAGCTTCAGATCTTTTACGCTTCTTCACGAAAGCACCTAAATCCACGTATCAGGGTCCCAACATGCCTGCCTAATACGCACTGCCCATTTTATGTCACTTATTGATTTCTGATCACATCTTACAATTCAACCCCCTCACTTGCTTATATTTCTCCCTTTACCTGGGCCTCCAGCCTCAAATGCGGCCTCCTACAGGAAGCATTCCTTGATGACCTGATGGGAATGAAATATCTGTCTTCTCTACTCCCTTAGTACATGAATTTCCATTAAACACAAATCACATTCATTGTCACATAATTTTTCACCCAAAAGAAGGCACCTGACATTCATGTATGCAGTGATTTATAAGCCTTTTCTCTCGTAAACCACATAACCTCACAACATGGACTACTGTCTCCATTAAGCAGTGAAGGAAAACAGGAGCAGGCCTCCTTCCCCCGCAGACCCTAACTCTTTTACTTCAATTAAAACCTCTCCGCAACGTTCATAAGCATAGGGACAGGGAGGGAGCAGCAGGGAAGGCAGGGAAGGGCCTGCTTGTAGCAGTAGGTGGACCCTCGCAGGAGGGGCGCGGCCCACCGGGCGCTAGCCTGGCCTGAAGCAAAGCCCTGCAGCCGTGTGTGCTGGGCAGACGGTGATGGAGAAGTGTGGGAACAGCTACGGAACCACTTGCCTTGAAGAAGATCGAGGTAAACATGGACTGTGCTTCCCTCACGGGGCCGTGCGTGCTTCATTTGTCATCTTGCTTGATCACGGGGTGATCCCAGAGTTGGCAAGGGCTGGGCAGGGTTTTCTCAATCCAAGCCTGGCTAGACTGGAGCTCTGAGCAGTGGGAGGGGCACCTGCTTCTTCCATGACTCCAGTGAGCATGACGCAGAAGCGACGCGTCCAGATCTCCATCATCTTAGGGGGAGAGGGAAACCCATGGTCAAGTTCACCCAAGGTTTTACTCCTCACATCTCCTGTCTCTTTCTACATCTCTTCTCTGCTCTCCTGGTTTTGGTTTATTTTGTTTACCTTTTGATTTCTATATACAAAGTATGGTCCAGTTTATAATCTTTCTTTCCTACATTAAACCACACACACACACACACACACGCACGCACACACGTGTGCACGCGCGCTGATCTTTGCTACAGACACTCCATGGACTAAAAGTGTTTACCTGGACAGAGGCATTATGGGACATTTCTGAAGAGCGAGTTCTTTCTGTGTCACATGCCTCAGCTGAGACCGGCAGGCCTGTGGGAGGCTCCTGGTGGCAGGGACCTCCCCAGCCAGGCAGTTCAGGAAGGAGACCGGGGCATGTACTCTCAATAGTGTCGGAGGTGTGGGAGTCAGAGCAGCTTTCGAAGAGCAGTTTGGTAGATTAAACCAGAAGCCTTAAAACATGTGCACAGTGTCTTTGACTCAGCAAACACTTAAGAACACTGCCAGATGGTTTTCCAAAAAAGATTTCTCTACAAGAAAGCATGTTACTTACAATAACGAAAAGCTGCAAATGACTGCAATGTCCAACAATAGGGGATTAATTAAACAAACTGTGGTGCATTCATGCAGTGGAATACTGTGTAGTATTTAAAAATCTAGTTATAGAAGATGACACAACATGGGAAATGTTCACAATACAGTGGTCAAGTGAAAACACGTAGGTTATAAGAAGCCTATAAGCTCAACTTTATTTTTATTTTTTTATTTTTATTTTTTTTTTCAACTTTATTTTTAAAAAGTGTATTTGACCGTGAGCATAGATTGACGATTAAAGAAACATTTCAAGATATTAAGCATTATTTCAGCATTTTGCAGTACAAGTGAGTTTTATTTTCTTCTTTGGGCATTTTGGGACATTGTTGGTGGGGTAGACTACAGCCAGACTACCTAGGTTTCCTTTGGCTCTGGAAATCAGAAGAGGCCAAATGTCTTCAAGAGCCCTTATTAAAATTTTTCCCTCTTGCCCACGAGACTATACTCCTGCCTTTAAACATCCCGCCCCCAGGAGAAGACCATTTAATTGCCTCATTCTGCTCTATGGAGTTGGGAAGTACTTTTTTGAAATGCACAGAGACAGTTCACTTGGTGTGCTGGTGAGTTTCCTGACTTAAACACCTGCCTCTAAAGATGCAGAGACCCAGGTGACCAGCATTTAGGTATTTGTATGGAGACATCATTTATAAAGAGGGTTTGCATTTTTTTAATTATGGGAAAATAGATATAGCATAAAATTTACCATCCTTACCATTTTTAAGTGTCCTGTTCAGTTGTGTTTAGTACATCCACATTATTGTGCAACCAAACTCCAGAACCCTTTTCACCTTGAAAAACTGAAAATCTACACCCATTAACAGCAACTCCCCATTGTCCCCTCCTGCTAGACCTGGGCAGCCACCCTGTACTTTCTCTCTCTATGAATCTGACTACTCTAGGCACCTCCTATACGTGGACTCATACAGCGTTTGTTTGTGAACTGCCCTATTTCGCTTGGCTAATGTCCTCAACATTCATCCATGTTGTATCGTGTGCCAGAATGTCCTTCCTTTTTAAGGCTGAATAATGTCCCCTCGTGTGGATAGACCACAGTTGTTTATCCATTCACCCATCGGTGGACACTTGCGTTGCATCCACCTCTTAGCTGCTGTAGACATGGGTGTGCAACTGTCTCTCCAAGACCCTGCTTTGAGTTCTTTTGGGTAAGGATCCAGAGGTGGACTTTCTGGAACGTACGGTAATTCTATGTTTAATTTTTCTCCGGTTTATTTTTTCTGTGGTTTCCAGGGGCTGCCCCATTAGACGTGTCTCACCTGCTCTTCCTGAGGCTCCCAGTGTCGCTGTGGAGGCGCACCGGAACCACGGCTTCCCTAACCTCCTGTCCTTTCTTTTGGAGCACAGGTCAGTCCATCGTGGGCTGTAAGGCCATCCTCATCGACGACCAGGTCTTCGTGGTGGTGGCCCAGCTCTTCGGCGGCTCTCACATTTACAAGTACGATGAGAACTGGACCAAGTTTGTCAAATTCCAAGACATCGAAGTCTCTCGCATTTCCAAGCCCAATGACATCGAGCTGTTTCAGATCGAGGACGAGACGTTCTTCGTCATCGCAGACAGCTCGAAGGCTGGCCTGTCAACGGTTTATAAATGGAACAGCAAAGGATTCTACTCCTACCAGTCCCTGCACGAGTGGTTCAGGGACACGGACGCTGAGTTCGTGGACATCGACGGGAAGTCGCACCTGATCCTGTCCAGCCGCTCCCAGGTCCCCATCATCCTGCAGTGGAATAAAAGCTCTAAGAAGTTTGTCCCCCACAGCGACATCCCCAACATGGAGGACGTGCTGGCCGTGAAGAGCTTCCGGATGCAGAATTCCCTCTACCTGTCCCTCACCCGCTTCATCGGGGACTCCAGGGTCATGAGGTGGAACAACAAGCAGTTTGTGGAGATCCAGGCTCTTCCGTCCCGGGGGGCCATGACCCTGCAGCCCTTTTCTTTCAAAGAGAATCACTACCTGGCCCTGGGGAGTGACTACACGTTCTCCCAGATATACCAATGGGATAAGGAGAAGCAGCTGTTCAAAAAGTTTAAGGAGATCTACGTGCAGGCGCCTCGCTCCTTCACGGCGGTCTCCACCGACAGGAGAGATTTCTTCTTTGCCTCCAGTTTCAAAGGGAAAACAAAGATTTTTGAACACATAGTTGTTGACTTAAGCTTGTGAAAATGTGATGGGTGCATTGAAAAGACACGCAGTGTTAGGTCTCATGAGGGGACCGGGAAAAACATGTACAAAGAAGCCAGGTTCAGAGGTCTGAAATTAAAAACGCATTGGGAAGTAGTTAGAAGTCTTCAAACTTGTAGAACTCACATTTTAATCAGGGATTGCATTTATTGGCTAACTGCATGACATGTCCATCCTCCCATTCAAAAAGACATCCTCAAGCCTATAATTCCTGAAAAAAAGAGTACAGTGTTAACTCTTACCATCTAGGAAAGTGATGTGGTTTTTTTTTTGTTTTTTTTGTTTTTTTTTTAATGAGGAAGGAGAAAATTGGGTAAGATGGGACAGCTCTAAAAGTGAAATTTTTAAAAAGACCAAACAAACTATGGGCCCTTCTCATCCCATTTTAGCAATCTTTCTGGTAAGGACTCTTAAAGCCAAAGTCAGCTGAAAAGATTTGCTGATGGTAAGTTTAAAAATCTGATAACACTCAGCATTGCTATTTTGAGCCATCCCAATTTTTTGCGCCCCTTCCCCCACCTTACTAACAGAACCTTGGCTATTTCATTGGCTCATATGGATGTTTGTCATGGGTGTGTCAACAAAACAATGTTTGACAAATTGCTTCCTCTGCTACAAAGAAAATGTTCTGCTGACACATGTCCAGGCCCAGCCTGGGCTGTGGGGCCAGGAGGTAGACAAGGAGTTTCTCCTCTTCTAGTGGTTCAGAGCTAACCCCGTGGCAGCCGGAGCACAATGCTTGTGTGATGTTCTCCGTGACTCATCTGCTTCTCTGCACCTGTCCTTTGAGCGTGCGGGTCACCAGCAGACAGCCCAAAGACTGAGTGGTGCTTTGTATTCTGTCCTTTAGAGCAATAGAACAGGCATTTCCATCTGATGAGAATTACTGAAGTCAGAGTTTTGTGGAGTCGAGGAGGACTTTACACAAGTCTTGATGTCTCTGAAACCTAGAGATGGCCCTGGATTGATGCATGCCTTTGCCCTCTGGGCAACTTAATATTTCAAGTAATTGAATAGCAACCTACCTACCTGCCCACCTGCCTACCTCCCTGCTCATGTAACAGTTTGCTTTGTTGATTTGCTGATATCGCTGCTGCCTGCACAGCCCTTCCACAGGTGCTGTAGCACCAAATTGTAGAAGCCGGGGTTCTCAGGACAGCACGCTCCTTCCTCTTCCTGTCCTTAGCTCACTCGGGGCCATGTGCTGCCAGGGGGTTCATCCTGATCAGAAGGATCCAGCTTTGGAGCCAGACACTCTGAATCCCACAGACCGGTTTGCACTCAAAATGGGCCTCTCTGGTGTAGACATCGGGGGGGGGGGGGGTCTGGTCTTGTGGAAGGGTCCAGGTGGCGGTTCTGCGTCGTTAGCTGGATCTCTCAGAGAACATGCAGCGAACGCATTCAGGAGCAGCTCTCCCAGAGCAACCCAACAGCTTTTCTTCCAGCCATAAATGTAGCATAATCATTGTACTGTATTGTTTTTTTTTTTTTTAAATGATGTTCGTTTGCTAAGTCATGAGTAGGTAGATGTTTTGCCACAAATGTGAATGTGTTCGTTGTTTCCAGACTTTTAAGCAACGCAGACCCAGGCAATAAATAGCACTTAGAGAACAATGCGGTGATGTCACAACAGCTCTCTGGGGTACATTCTGGGGCTGTAGGCGGAGGGTTTCCAGCCTAGGACACCAAGGACTTTGGGAGCTAGTTCATCCACATGTAGTGGCATTTTTGCTTGAAACATTCCTACTGAGCACCAAGCGAACAGGAGTAAAGTGGTGTGTTTTCATTTTCTAAGCACAAATGACTCTTTCTCCTGTGTTCTTTTGTCTTCCTGCTTATTTGAATTGACTGCAAATGCCCAGCTCCCTGAGTTGGAAACTGAGTGGGATAGCTCTGCTCTTCCTCAGGCTGTCAAGATGGGCAAAGTATTCTTTCTGGCACTGGGAACCCCTCAGACAAGGCTGGGTGGGAAAACGAGTACTTGGCAAACAACCAGGTAGGAGACGTGTCGACAGCCCAGCACTGTGCCAGATCGAAATGATGTTCCTGGTTCAGCGGTTTGGAGAGAAGGTGACTGATAGCTCTGCCGAGCGGCGCGCCAACTTCCCAGTTCCGCCTCCGAGGAGGGAATTCGGGGCCCACCACGTGCACTCGCCACCCCGGAAACCATTGCCCAGGACGTGGAAAACCAGGGCGCCAGGGTGGGCTTGCGGGGACTTGCTGAGCCTAGACGAGACAGGATGGGTAAGCCGCTCCGCTGCCATCAGGGTGTTTTTTCCCTTCTTTTAAAAACTTTTAGACAAGATCCTAGTCTAGTCTGCAGAGCCCTGCCCCGAGGGAGCAGATATTTGTTCTGGCTGACTTGCTTAAGGAGTGTCGCTGTTCTTGGCGCCAGGCGAGGGAAGCTTTGCTTCATTAATCTTACTGCTCCATCCCAAGAGTCCCTCAAGTTTTAAACAATTTCTGCGAGAAGATTTCTTCCAGTAATAATGTAAGAGGAAAAAAAAAAGAAGCAACAATAGTCCAAAGCAGAGAGTCCTGGGGGACCATTGCCGTGGAGACAGTTGAGGAGGGGCTCTGCTTCTTTCTCCTTCCCGTCGCCCGCTGGTTGAGCATCTCAGCTGGCTGCTTCCTTACAGTCGCGGTGACCAGGCTCCCAGACTGAGTCCCGCCACAGAGCTGTGTGGCCAGGACATACAACCTTAAAGTGAGGACTTGTCCCCAAACTCCATGAAGCCAGAAAGAGATCTCTCATGAAGACTAAAAGTGAGCCTTCCCTGTGACTGGCGCTGTGTTCTTGGGCAGCGAGCATAAGCCCACCTTGCGTCTCAGCGAACCTTTATAGTTTTCAATGGACGTGTGTGTTCATCTCCTTGGTTCGGGAACAGTTCTTCAGTTTATTGGAGGACAGGTGCCACTCCCTCTTCAGGGAGAAGGAAATAGACGCCTAAGTCAGCGGCCCGCTCAAGATGGTTCAGTAGTGAGTGGCAGCACTGGAACTCTGCCCCCGAACAGCAGGCGTCGTCTGTCCTGTGGCACTGCCCTGCCCTCCAAATGAAAACGTTTTCATGATTTTTAATATAACAGTACCTTGAGAGAAAAATAAAAAATACCTCAAAATGTGCAGAGCCAGAAGGAAAATAGTGCTGAATAGACATCATCCGATCAACCGGTCCATTGAACAATTAAACACCACGGAACCGCGGTTACGTGCCAGGCCCCCCTCTTGAAGGGCTTCCAGAAGTTACACAGAATTCTCTGTTCGGAAGGGGGTTTCTAGCTCGCACAGTCGCCTCTCCCCTCCCGTAGTGCCGGGGAGGATGCTGAGCTGGAGACACATCTGGTCCTTGTCACAATGTCCACAAGATAAACAAGAACTGTTCTGTGAGGGGGAAGGGGAAAACCTGAATGCACGGGCGATGATGAATTGCTCGGGGCCGCGATCAACCTTTGGGGAGCACGCGGGAAATGACAGGGTTGCATTTTTCTTCCCCACGGAGTGAGAGGCTGTGTATTTTTAGGAAAGAAATCAGCGTGGGATGCTGGAGGTTTGGCTGCCAGGAACACTCACGATGGAAATTTCTCCACCGGGGTATAATGAGAGAGAGATGAAGGTCTGCGGGAGGGGAGTCTATTTGCATACCTCCTAAAGAAAGTCTCTCGAGCGGCTTCGCGATTCTTGGGCAGAATTATCAGCCCTCACGTGCGCGCCGGAAGAGTCCTTTAATTAGGCAGTGACCGAAGATTCTGCTCGACAGCACTCTGGACTAGAACGCAATAATCCAGTTGTTGGCACAGTGAGTGAGATGGTCCAGACTTGGGGAATGGACAGAAAAGCAGGGCAGGTGTCTGTGGAGGAAACTCTTTGGGGAAAGTGGAAATAAACTGGAAGAAAAGACAAAGTCGTAATGATTTCCTTTGCCTCAGCCAGGCAAGTGGATGGTGGAACAACCAGGCAAATTCACAGCATCTCGATGATTAACAAAGAGAACCAATTATAACACTAATTAGAATAAGAAGTATCTGGAAAGCTACTGAAATCTAAACTGAGGCATCCTTTTCTTTACATGATTCCACTGCTTGTGTCAAAATCCACCTTTTTCCTAGTAGGAAACTATGCATTCCCAATCACTCCCTTTGACTGTCAGGAATGTACAAGACCTGTGATAAAATAGGCCAATATGCCACTTGGTACCATTTTTATGTATTTTAAATGCATAACTTAGGCAAAATAAGAATAGTTTATGTGTATATGAAAGTGAATTTTGCAGTATGCAAGCTACAATGAATGCATTTCAAGGCTGAACGTATATTTAGCTCTTTTTGGTAAATAGAGTTAACAAATGATATGCCTCTTAATTTGCTATATTCTGTAAACCTATGAATAAAAAGTAGCTCCTGCCTATTTTGGCTCCAATTTCTGGTCTGCTTGAATACGATACGTCCACTCGAGCCGTAGAGTGGAAGGGAAGCCACCTGGGCAGTGAGGAAGAGCGTGTGCCCATGTATCTCTGTGGCTTGCTCCCTGTTTAAATGGAAGAGGGGCCCTCAGGGGTCTTTTGCACCTTTGACTTGCAAACTAAAAAGTCACCAAAGAACTTTCCAGTTGCACCTTTACTTGACCTGCGGAATCAGAATTTGACAGACTGACCCAGAACTCTAGGAACCGTGTGGCTTATGGTTCTGCATGGTAAGGAGGTGAGATCGCAAGATCGCGTTGGTTGGCTTGAACCATGAACACTGAGAGGGCAGGATTTGTTACTTGTTCTTTGCATGCCTGGATCTAACCTGGTACACAGTCGGCATTCAGTAAAACTTAGGTGCATGCCTCTATATCTTTCATCTAAGACCCATTTAGTTTAATTGGACAAATGTAGGGTCAAAAACTCAAATTACCTATGACCACGTACCTACTGGGTGCCAAGGATGGTGGTGTGCTGTGGGACTTCTTAAGAAGTACAAGAACAGAGTCCGTGCCCTCACGGGATGTAGAATCCAGGTAAGAGGAAAAGTCATTGCCCGAGGCTATCGTCACAGCTCCAGGTTCAGGCAGCGTTCGGATCCTGACGTGGTGTGTGGCTAATTGTGCAATGAATGGAGCAGGGGTGATGACAAATGTGTGTCTACTGGCGGGGCATGCGCACTGAACTTGCTTTTTATTGCTGTGTGACTAATGTAAATGCAGGGGCTTAAAACAGATCATGTTCACGAGCTCGCCGTTCTGGTGGGTCAGGGGTCCTGACATGGCTCAGATGCGTCCTCTGCTCAGGGTCGCGCCGGCTGCAGTCAGCTGTTGGCCAGACTGCATTCTCATTTGGAGCCTCTGTGAGGGAAAGATCCGCTTCCAAGCT